AAACAAGACCGAAGGACTTTTAGAATGCAAAACTGTGGGAAAATTCACAGTTTAAACCTTGTGGTGACAGGATGGCCGGAAACACTTTTTTCCCCCTTGCCTGCAACGGCTTCCCTTATTTCCTGGGTTCTAGTCCTCTTTGTGGGGAGAAACGTGGCTTCCGTGGAGGAAGGAAGGGAGATCTAAACTCCCTTGAGCCAAGGCTCCTGCGAAGCGGCCACGGAGGCCTTGTGGGTTGGGGGGATCCTCCGGGGTTTCATTTTGGGTCCTCTTCTGCCCCCCCCCTCTGCTTCCTGCAGGACCCCAACAGCAAGAGCCCCCAGGGGCTGAAGTTCTCCATCAAGGAGACGGTGTGTCCCTCCTCGCCGCAGAGCCGAAACCTGACCCAGTGCGACTTCAAAGAAGATGGGGTGAGCTCCTCTGCGCCCCCGTCCTTGGCTGGTTCTCCCCCTCGGTTTCCTCCTGGGGGCGGAGGAGCTTTGGGGGTGCAGGCCACGCTCTCCTGTGTTGTCGGCTTTGGGGGGGTCCCTGCCCTGAGGAGCCCCTTGCGAAGCGTGGGGGCCGCTGACCAGGAAGGGGCAGAAAGCAGGGAGAATCCCTGCGTGTTTGAACCAGTCCAAGTGTCGGGTGCAGCGTTATCATCTCTGTCTATCCCGTCTATTCCCTGTCTGTCTGTCTGTCTATCCCCCTCTCTGTTTCTTTATCTCTGCCTCCCTCCCTCCTTTCCATTCAATCTCTCACACACACACACCCCACACACACACTGGGTGCTTTTCCTGGGAGAACAACGGGGTTCATAATCCTGGATTCCTGCATTGGCAGGGGGCTGGACTAGATGCTCTCCACACAACCCTCTTAGCTTTACGCTCTATAAGTCCAGGCTGGCGTTTCTCAACCTCAGCCATTTTAAAATGCAGGGACTTCAACTCCCATAATAATCATAATAATAATTCCCTGACAGGCGCTGAAGTCCAAGCATGCGGGCAGGGGGATTTGGACCAGAGGGAGCGGGCCCCACGTGGCCCCACCGGCCCTAACAGGGGGGAGGACCTGGACCCCGTGGCCCCGTGGCCCCCTTTCCTCCCCTCTGGGGGAGGCTCCCCCATGGCCTGTGTGTGTGTGTGTGTGTGTGTGTGTAGCGCAGCCTTTGTGCGTCCTCCGTGGCTGACCCTTGTCGTGTTGTCTCGCGCAGCTGGACCAAGATTGTTCCGGAATCTACTCGGCGCAACAGGAACCCCCGATTCTTGTTGTCCAGTGTGAGGATATTGACCAAGAGGTGAGTTTTGCTTCTAACTCCTTTTCCTCAAACGTGGAAAGCATCCCGGGCAGTCCTCGATTTATGACGGTTCATTTAGTGACCGACCGCTGCAGGATCCCCTCGGTCCTGTGAGGGAAATCCAGGCGCTTTACAACGGACTCCCATTTACGATGGTCGCAGCCTCCCGGCGGGTCCCTCTGGCGACCTGCTGACAAGGAAAGTCAATGGGGAATCCAGGTTCACTTAACGACCATGGAACTATCTGCAGGGATTCATTCGTCAAACGCGGGAAGAAAAGTCGTTAAGCGAGGCAAAAGTTTTTTTAACCATTGTCTCACATAACAACAGAAATTCTGGGCTCCGTTGCCGTCATCAGTCGAGAACTGCCTGTGAGTTGACTTATAACATAACGTCACGGGATGCTATAGTGTGAGAGGGCCGAGTAACGCGATATATTTCACCAAATGTCACGTTGTGTGTTGGGGGAGAAGCCGCGTCCCAATCCCCTCAAATCTACCTCAAATCCTGGAAACTAATCGGCATTTCAGCATCTTTCCTGCTGAACGCACTGCTGAGCTGTAGGGCCTCCACGAAACCATGGTGCGTTCAGGACCCCGTCCGTCCAGCTCCTCCTGTGTGTGTTGCAAACCACCATTGATGGCTAGATCAAAGCTTGCCATCCGTGGCTTGTTCAGAAGATGGTCTATAACAAACCGACACCTGGCCAGAATGCGGCAGCCTCAGCCCAGTTCCCGGTCCTGTCAAAGGCCTCTTTGGGTCGGGTGTAAATCTTGTTTATCCTCCACGGATCTTTCTCCCTCAAGTTATTTGGTTATCCCGGAACCACCAAGATTGAATGAAACACGTAACGACGTAAGTATGTCGGCCTGGAGGGCGTTTGGACCAGGGTTTTTCAAAGTGGGACGCATGGAGATGGCTGGGCTGCCACTCCCAGAATCCCCCAGCCAGCGTGCATTCTGGGAGTTGAAGTCCAGGCGCCTCCAATTGGGGGAAACGCTGCTCTAAAGGGATTTTTAGGAAGGGCCTGAATGGAAATCGCCCCCCCGGCCACCCGTGGATCTCATGAAATCTTCTTGATTCAGCTGAACCGGATCACCAGAAGTCGCTGGAGGAAAGTCGCGAGGAAAGTAGGCCGTTTCGTGCGGCGATATGGGCCGGTCATCGCCAGCGTGGTCGGATGAAGGAACAGAACCGACCGGAGGAGGGGAAGAAACACCCCCCCCCCCCCCCCCCGGAGATCTCTGACAGCTTCGCTTTGGAAGACTTCGCTGGCCCCTTGCAGATTACTGGGTTTTTTTACCTCTGGTTTTCATACGCTCCGAATTGCATAATAAAATCTCCTTTGGACCACAGCTGTTCACTTTTATTTTATTTTTTTACTTTGGGAGGAAACGCTTGTGATGGTAAAGATGAGAAAGAAAGAGAAAAGGAGGTAAGAAAAGTAGAAGGGGAAAGGGGAAAGAGAGAGAGCTGAAGAAAGGAAGGAAGGAAGGAAGGAAAGAGGGAGGGAGGGAACGAGGAAGAGTGAGGCAGGGAGGGATGGAAGAAGGGAGAGGGAGGAAAGGAAGGAAGGAAGAAAAGAAAGAATGAAAG